TTCGAACCTATCGAAGAGATTTCTGATCGCCATCTTACAATAAAGGCTACCTTTCTTCTGGCAATATCTTCTCTTAAGAGAGTTGGGGATTTACAGGCCCTCTCGGTGGCCCCTTCTTATCTTGACTTTGCGCCCGGTCTGGCCAAAGCGTTTCTGTTCCCTCGAGCGGGGTATGTTCCTAAGGTCCCCTCCTCTACACCACGGCCTGTCGTACTCCAGGCCTTCAGTCCTCCTCCCTTCGGAGAACCAGACCAGCAGTAACTTAACTGTATGTGTCCAGTGCGAGCACTGGATGCATACGTCCACAGAGCTGCCTTGTGGAGAAGGGCGGACCAACTGCTCGTATGCTATGGTCCCCCTAAGAGAGGTCTTCCAGCTACAAAACAGACCCTCAGTCGGTGGATAGTAGATGCCATTTCTATCGCTTATGAGTCCTCTGATCTCCCTTCGCCTCTAGGGGTCAAGGCTCACTCTACCAGAAGTGTGGCGGCCTCCAAGGCCTTCTTGGCAGGTGTCTCAATGCAGGACATCTGCGATGCTGCGGGATGGTCCACGCCCCTAACCTTGGTCTATGGCTTAGACAATGCGAGCCACTCCTGGCTCTTCTGTTCTCTCGCCCTAGCTGTGCAGGCTTCCACACTAGGTGAAGATTTGAAAGTTTGGCGGCGTAGGCATACTCGTTCCCAAAGCGTCCTCCGACGCAGCTCGAGTTCCTGAAGAGGAACGTCTCAGGTTACGCATGTAACCATGGTTCCTCAAGGGAACGAGACACTCGGGGCCATACTTTCGGCATCTCTGCCAGCGCTTGCTTCACTCCTAGAAGCTGACGCCGGTTTCACCACACGTGCTTTTAAGCTTTTAAGCGTGTATCATTCGATCATTTGTTTTTTTAATTAATATTGAAAGTAGAAAAATGAGAAAACGGCTCCTTTTTCGTTTTTTTTCCAAAAATTTAAAAAAGAGAATTCCGCTTAAATTTTCGTTTTTCGCTCAGGCGTAGAAAAATGAATAAACAGCTTGAATATTTGATTTCTACACGTGGGCGGGAATTAAATGCCCCTTTCTGCTGATTGGTCAACCGAAGATCAAACCGTGCCATTAAATGCGTAGCATTTTAATAAAACTGTTAACGTTAAGGCAGCGGGGAATATGAACGTCCATGAGTTATTTTAATCTGTTATTTTAATGTTTCGTTTTTGTTTTTGATTTTTTTACCTAAAACAGAGACACTGATGTTGATGTGTCTGCATTCAAGCATTTCAGTGGGTTTAAATAGATCACCCTTTACAGCAGATTTAGTTCACAAACAACTAACAGTTTTGACCTAAATATGATTTTCAGTTACAATAATTAATCCTAAAATTCGAAATTAGTAACTTACTTTTAGCAGCATCAGTGGCGCGCGCGCTCACAACATCTCCCGGTTCTTACTTGTGAATTCAGTTCACTGGAGACTCACACTAAACGGTTCATTTGAATCAGTGAGTTGTCGACTCGAGAACAGCTGCAATCGGATCATTCTAATTCGTGAATGAATCGTTTGGTGCGATTTGCGAACCGATTTAAAAGGTTCATTGAAAAGAATCAGGTCGTTCATGAATCAGACACCGCTTCTACGTGTCGGAGCATGTGATATATTATAAGGAGTA